CTAGGTATGTTCACTAGGTTCTATCCATGTATCAAGCACTTTCTGTGTCTGTGAGCAGCCCCGGTTTCCGTGAGAGAAGGTAGTGGCAGTCTGCTTCTGGGGATTTATAACCTTGCAAACACTCTGTCCCAGAAATGTACTCTACTCTTCTGGCTCCTAGGTCTGTTCACTAAGTCCTGTACACTTAGTTGGCATTTTCTATATATACAGTGTCTATATACACAGGCTAGAAGCATGCCAGTTGTATGTAATTACTATTGTACTCTTTCCATCTTTCCATGTTTAAAATACAGGGTAGTGTCATAGGTCTAAAAAGTATAAAAAGATAATTTTATTTTAAAATCACAAACAGATTTAATGATATTTCTTTACCTTTTACAAGGGGGTTTTATCTGATATAGTAATCTTACTCTTAAACACTAGGAAATAAGTTTTTAAGAATACGCCCAAGAGCAATGGGTATTAAAACCTCAACCAAACCTGCTGCTAGTGCTCACAGTGATCTCCTAGGGTAGAGTCGGACTCCTGCATCCGACTCACAGCACAGAGAGCCACGGTGGTGCAATGGGTAAGCTTTCTGACTATTAACTGAAAGGTTGGCAGTTCAAGCTTACCAGTCATTCCCTGAGACAAAGATGTGGCAATGTTTCCATAAAAATTACAGCCTTGTAAACCCTATCGATCAGTTCTACTATATCCTATAGGGTTGCTATGAATCAATTCGAGGGCAATGAGTTTTTAAATAGTTATCTCTACAGAAGCAGTCAAATAGAAAACACTATGCCATCAGGGCTCCTTAATGGGACATCAGTACGAATGAAAACAACAAAAATGAAATGCACTCATTCTGTAACTGAGTTGAAGCCGACTGCAGGGCCGGGCACAACTGCCCCTAGGGGTTTCCAAGATGGTAACTCCTTACAGGAGTGGGGAGTCTCATCTTTCTCCTGAGGAGTGGCTGGTGGTTTCATATTGATAACCTTTTGGTTCCTAGCCCAATGGGTAACCACTATGCAACCAGGGCTTCACAAAACTAGGGGCACTTTATAATCAAATCAATTGTTACAGTGGCTGCATTTTGCTGGGGAAATTGGATGTAATCTTTATCTCTCTGCACTTTTTTTTCCCTATAGCTATTGAATTTTGTGAACACTGATTTTTTTTTTTAATAAACATAAAAGTTTGTGTGTGTGTGGGAGAAGTAATGATATAAATTACCACTTCAGAGGAAATAAATATAGACAAACATGTCAAACAACATCCCTTGGATGCAACCTGCATAATCCATATAATACTTGATTGCTTCAACAAATATGTGACAAGGTAAAAAAGAAAGGATAACCCCAGAACTACTACTGATGCAAGGCCCTGCTATCTGAAACTGCCTGAGAGGACGAGGGGGAGAATGATCACGGGGTCTAAAACCAGCCCTACAATGCTCAGAACTGGTGGTAACCACACTTCATTCCCTTGCACAGTCCTAATAATTCTCTGTACCCCCTTTCTGCTAAAGCTAGCTCAAATTTGTCTCTACTACCCAAACAACCTTGACTACACAATCACTTATGTAGAAGGTCTACCTTTTTTTCGCCTAGTTACTCTAAAGAATGAATATTCATTTTAATATGAATCAGGTTGTGAGTTAATTTTTGACTACACAATAAATTGCTCTGGTATGCTAATGCTAAAAAAGAAGATGGAAGATTAATCACCTAATTTCTTCAACAAACAGACATCAATGAGGAAAAAAAGAACAAAGACTAAAGGAGACTTGGCAAATTTGGTTGGTAATAATTACATCGATCCAATACAGTATGTGGACATTTTTTGAAGCACCTATAAAAATAGAACAGAACTGCTCCATATGGTTTGTTCTCTTTACCCACAAAGTCCAATATATTTACTACCTGGCCCTTTATAGAACAAGTTTGTGGATCCCTGAAGCAGAAAGTTTTCACTCCTTCAAGTGTTCCCCACAGCCCCATCAATGCGGTTTTCTACAGCTATAATCTTGACAAAGGCAGACTGCCTCACCCTTCTTTCATATGGCAGCCAGTGGCTTCCCCAGCCAGCAGCCCCGGAGCTTAACCCACTGTGTCACCAAGTGTCCTTTCACATCACATACTAGGATAAATTTCAAATGGATTAAATATCTAAGTAAGGAGTCAAACCCAGTTAACAGTCTTGTTTGTGTTTGGCCATGAGTGAAGAGTAGTTTTTAATGTTTTAAAAGTAAAGATAAGAAAAAGAAAGCATATGACAGAGGTATAGGTAAAGACAAAGCCTACAATATTTACTAACATGGATTAATTCTCTAATATAAAAAACTGCTAAAACGGGGAAAGGCAGAGGAGGGAAGGACCAAAGGACAGTTCAGAGAAAAAGAGATGCAAATGGTCCTTAATCATGTAAATCAACAGTCTCATAAGAAAAATAGAAATTAAACTGGAATACATTTCTTACGTATTAGACTTGCAATAGTACAAAAGTCTGCCTACACACTGTGCTGAAGGGCTGTGGGGATGAAGGGACTTTCACCACAGCCACATGCCTACGGAAGGGGACTTGGCAGATCAATTCAAAGAACCTTGACATATTTCCCAATGATACACTGACAAAATACAGCATGGCCTAGATGCATTGTAGCAAACAGGAAACTTAATGTCCACCAGGAAGGAAACATTTAAAATAAACTATGCTCCACACCAACAAAAGACTACAGCCAAGAAAACCTAAAGGGACAATCAACGCAACCACACCTAACAACAAACTTCACAGGATTTTTATGCCTCTGGAAATGCATGTGGGCAAGAAAACAAAGTGGTAGCTAAGGGTTAGTTTTTATTTTATTTACTCTTAGTTTATTTATTTTATTTTTGGCTTGTGACTCTGCCAAGGAAATCCCTGTATAATTATGAAATGTCACATTATTATTTTTAACTTAAAAATATACTTTTGAAAAAACAAAATAAGATGATGACACATGGAGACAAAGATGGACTATGGACATCTCTATATGATGACGTGGAATGACAAGAATGACAGAGATAACTGTTAGGCCAAAAAAAGCAAGGGCCAGGATAGTATGCTATCTTTTGCGTAAGACAGCAAGGAGGTATAAGCACACACACACAAATATGTGTCTATATGTTTTAAAGCGACAATGGGGGGCTAATTTTCTGAGCACAGGGAGGAATCAGGCTGGGTTTCATTGTTGTGACTGTGGAGCCACGCCAGTATTTCACACATTTAAACACAGTCATAGCATAAAAACAGAACGAGTGACAGTCTTGTGAAACCAGGGAAACTACAAATGAAACACAGTGGGACAGCACCGTTGGGACAGACCTTCTAAGGAGGCAGCGCTGTCCAGGCTGGTCTGGCTGAGGCCCGTCCCCCTCGTTCTTGAAGTGGCACTGCTCTCTTGAGAGGAAGCAGCTCCTTCCAACTGAGGGCAGACATCTTCATCTACTGAAGAGGTAGATTCAGAATCCTGGGCTCCCACTGAAGAAAGACTGGTACGATCAGAACTTTGCTCCTAAGAACACAATTATAAGCTTAATTTCCTAAAGTTATTTAAAAGATTCACTTCTAAAGCAGAGAAAACAGGGTTTTACAAGCTTGTGAGTGAGCGGGCAACTAAAATGCAGCTATATAAATGATTCCTTGAGTCTCTTTTTACATAACTGTGACTAAGGAGCATGTTAAAATAGGTATTCTTTCAAGTAAAGCAGCTTAATTTTTTTTTTCTTTCTGGAGGTGGGGTTACCATGGGGCAAGAGGATGTTTGAAAGGAAAAATAGTAGCAGTAAATACCAACAAAACTGACCTTAGATGATGTGGTATACATGGCAAATCTTGAATACCATTTGCTTGCTTTCTCCGCCACGCCTTTTCCAGCAGTGAACATACTATTCCTTAGAACATCTAGTTTAGGTACAAGTAATGCATCTAGATTAAATGAAGGTGCGGAGTGGGTTAGCGTCTCTCGAGACCCTTCCCTCAATGGGCAAGAGGGTGAGAAGGCTGGAGAAGACCAGAGTCTGTCCCTTGGCCTGTCACTCTTCGTATAACTCTTCGATTTGGGAAGCCTCGCTGGCCGTGGAGAACTGGGGGGAAGACTGGATCTTCTACAGGCTTTGACCACAGTTGGGCTTTTCTTACTGGCTAGTTTGTCGTCACATGCATGCTGTAAATCAATGCTTGGTGTACGACTTGTCAAAGGACTGCTCATGTTATTCATATACATGACAATTTCTTCAGCTAAATCACGCCTAGTAGTTGGTGTTGAAATGCATTTGCTATCATCTTCCTCCCCCTCCTCCTGCTCCTCCTCCTCCTCCTCTTCTTTTTGCTGCTGTTTAGTTTCTGCTGCCAAAAGAGATAGGGGATCGAAGCCTGTTGCAACATCAGTTTTTTCAAAAGATTTTACTGAGAAGCTGCTGTTCATACGGCGAATGATTTTGGGATGTTGTATGGCAGCAGATCTTGCTTTTGATCTATCTGTTTCACTGTCTAAGTCTTCTAAGTCAAAAATAACAGGCGACTCCACTTTATCTGCCAAGCAGTTAGAACTATCAAAAGGTGTATCGTCGTCACTAGACTCCTTTTCTAGACTCTCTCGTTTTGATCGTAGGGGTGGCTTCCCAATATCAAGACTATTTGGTCTTGTGTCTTTCGAGACAACATTTGAAAGAATTTTTGCATCAGCTCCTAATTTCTCAACGATGTCTCCGGGGTTTGCTTCCTGGTTAATTCTGTGAAGCATAAGTCCCATTAGTACTCCTCCACTAAGATTACGGGTTCGGTTTCCCCAGGCCATTTGCTGCTCAAAATTAGGCTCATTGTCACTTTTATGTCTTTTCCTGAAGCAGCTACTTTGAATGGTCCCTGTTTCATTTGTATCTTCAAAAGATGATATTAATAGAAGCTTGGGTGTACTTTCTGTGGGGGAAAAAGAGTGTTTTAAGCAGTGAAAAATGTACTGTGTAAGTATCAGCTGTTTCAGTATGTACAATGGAAATGATAATAGTAAATTTTCACTTAGCTCTATTTGACAGAGATTATCTTAGTACTTTACTTACGATTATAGACAGTAGAAAGTTCCAAATCCTCATGAGAGAAAACTGATACACAGATTCATCTTGCCCCAAAGTTACCCAGCCTTAAGTGTAGGACTGGGATTTAAAGGGTCCAGCAGTAATGCTAAGGTTCTCAGCCATAGCCAGTGTCTTTAACCCCTTCTCCATCCCCGCCAAGCATGACCTGCGAACACCTTGCCTTCTCAAGATACCGTTCGCCGCCCCCCCCCCATCCGCTGGTGCCACAGCCAATGGGGGAAGTGCAGGCTTCTTTCAGACATAATTTATTTCTGTCTCCAAAGTTTATTAATGTGGATTCCTCTGTTCGCACTCTTTGGCTTCCTTCACCTTCTTCTGTGGTCATATGTCCCTGTCTCTTCCTCTCTCTAGCTCTCCCCTTTCTTACTTTCAGTTATTGTCTTTACTCCGTCTTCCAATCTTCCCTCACCCTGCCCCCTTTACTCTCCATTCCAATCTAAACACCCGGGCAGGTCATTAACTCTAATAAAACCTGTTAATTAAAAGCCATGCTCTGGCTCCACTTTCCTTTTATTCCCATTCTAACATAATGATGCCGAAACCTGGGAGAGGTTATTTATAGCCAGGACCATGCAGCTTCCCTGGCTGCCTCTTCTCAGGCCCATTGAAGCGAATTTCTTAAACCTCTGCAACTGTGGTTAGAAATCTTCTAACTACAAAAAAGCTGGATGAGTGTGAATATCTAAACTCTTTATCTGGGGGTCATTTGCTCTTCTTGGCCTTAAAGGGCCTAGGAAATCCTGAGCATGCAGGTCTTACACGCTTCTGCATTTGGACTTGGGGGCAATCTAAAGGGATGACTTACTGTTTTGCTATCCCCACTTCTCCCTCATGAGATACAGGGTTAATAAATTTAAAGGGAATGCTCTTTGAAGTAAGTTATCCTCTTAAAAGCTTAAATACTCACTCACACCCTCTAACATGGGTTGTATTATTGCCCTATTCCTCAATTAAGAAGTTCCCCTCTAGACAATGAAAAAAACCCATTGGCCCTACAGACCATGCTGTGCCTCAGGCAGCCTCAGTGCCTGTGGGCTCCTGCCTCCTTACAAACTCTTCATCCATTGTTCTGAAACCTTCCTACTTCCACCTCATCTCCTTCTCCTCCCACCACCTCCCCTACCATGTGATCTCCTACAACTTCTGCAGAAACTCCTTCCTCCCCCACACCATTAGTGCCTCCCCCACTCCTTCTCCTCCCTTAGCGCCATCTTCTGGGCAATCTGACACCTCTCCCTTGCTGCGGGCACCTCCATCAGTTTGAGTTCAGTTCTTCCCTGCACAGACGCGGCTTCTTTGAATCCAAAGATTCCATCCTCAAACCCTGCCCACTTCCTTCCTTTCCGTTAAGTCACGGAAGCAGAGAGGCTAGTAAAAATGCATACTCCTTTCTCAAATGTATGATTTATCTGTTCTAGGAAGATGTCTGGAATCTTTACCTTTGACTTAGACACTTATATGAAAGAGTTTAAATTCTCACTCAGTCTTACAATCTTACCTGGCAAAGTATTTATATTATAACTACTCTGTCTCCCAAAGGCAGGGAGAATGGCTGGACAATGCCAGTACAGAGATGCAATAGAATTCATGCCTAGAACCCGAAAGAAAATTCAGCAGTTTTAAATAGCTTCTGGGAGACTTTTCATGAATTCATCAGTGTTAGTCCTCCACAGTAGGTAGTACTACATTCCCTCATCCACACCTTATCTCATGGTTACTTCCCAACATGAGGAAAAAACTTTAAAAATTGCTGGTTGTTACCCTTCAAAGCACAATGGGTGTATCTGAACCATTTAACGGTGGGCCCTATGTGGGTGAGTCACTTGGACCCTGCTTTCCCCCAGAGCCCGGCCTAGAATACAATCAAAAGGGGACTCTAGGGAGCTGATTGCCTTTTCTGCCAGAAAGTGGGAAGGATGATCTCGTTCACAGTGTCTCTGTAGCGACCTGCTCAAGAAGCTCCTTGTAGGGCTCCTAGACTTAGCCATGAAGACCTGGAGGTGCTCTAAGACAAAGGCTTCGCAAAGCCCACCGCCTGCACAGCCTGACGAAACGCGCAGTTTCCTCCAGTTCTTTAATGCCCCCCCCCCACTATCATGACCCCAATTCTACCTCACAGATCCAGCTCGACCAGAGCATGTACATGGGTACAGATAAGAGCTCGAAACACAGGGAATCCAGATAAACCCCTCAGGACCAATAATGAGAGTAGCACTATCAGGAGGGCCAGGGGAAGGTGGGAGGAGAAAGGGGGGGACTGATTACAATGACTGACATATAATCTCCTCCCAGGGGGATGAACAACAGAAAAGTGGGTGAGGGGAGACTGGTTGGTGTAAGACATAAAAAAAAAATAATTTATAAATTATCAAGGGTTCATGAGGGGGGGAGGGGAGAGGAGGGGGAAATGAGCTGATACTAATGGCTCAAGTAGAAAGGAAATGTTTTGAAAATGATGATGGCAGCATATGTACAAATGTGCTTGACACAATGTATGGATGGATGGATTGTCGTAAGAGCTATAAGAGCCCCCAATAAAATGATTTAAAAAAATCACCCATCTCATGCCCAGGGTAATTATTGCCATCTCAAGTAAGCCCATTTTTTTGCTTTCCGCATATTTTACATTACTTACACATTTATGATATACTTCGTTAGTACCCACCACTTTTCCAAGAGTCACAGGTATAGTAAACATAGCCACTCATTGAATAAACACTTTCATGGAGCCTGTATAATCTCACACCAGCTTCTAATCATGACATATTGCCTCATCCCCTTACTGGGCAGAGATAGTCTAAATTCAAAACAGGAATATCTATGCAATTGACAAAAGCCTCCCAGGCTCTGAACCCATTACTTGTCTTACAAGCAGCGCCAGACACGCTGCCTGTCTTCATTTCTCCCCCAAATAATTCTAAGTGTCCCAACACCCCTCACTGATTCTTCCCCTTTACCACCTGCTCAGGGTAACCCACGTGTATGGGATGTCGCTGAACCTTCATTTGCTTTGCATTATCAGTCTATTTTACATCAGGTTAAAAAAACCCTTTGAAATTTCCTAACATGCTTCAGTACTCTAGCACCCTCTGACACTTAAAAATCCTTAAACCTCTAATCTCAAAACTCCTCAAGATGGGCCTGTTGGGACCCACACACTCTCCCGACAACACGCCAATCCTGCAGTCATTAAGCCTGGTGGCAGCGACAGCGGTGATCAAGGTCTTAAAGCCACCAACTCTGCTGTTCTGCCTATTCATCCCGTCATTCCCAACTCTTCCATTCTCTTCTCCACTGTTGCACCCAAGACGCTGAAGACGTGCACCAATCACACCGGCTTAAATGTTATGTTAGCGGCAAAAAATCACAGGCACCAAGAAGTGAAGTTCCAAAGACAGTGAGTGGAAAAGATTTGGTAAGCAGAGAGGGAAAAAGAAAGTAGTTTTGACTTTAAAGTAGAATGTCTGGCTGTGGCAGGATGTGGAAAATGGAAAAGACGAACTTGAGGGCACGCAGTGCGTTGCAGGTGGTTTGAGGAAAGGTGGACTTGACTTGTCCGGGTTTACGAACCTGCAAATGAGTGGTTTGTCTTAGAGTGTACCAAGGATGGAGGGCACGCAGTACGTTGCAGAAGGTTTGAGGAAAGTGGATTTTATAGGCCGTGGTTTACAGGACCTGCAAATGATGAGTTTTTACAAGAACAATGATAACTGATATGAGATCTTAAGCTTCATGGCCCCTACCACTTACGGAACTTCTAAGTTTAATATACATATAATCGTGCTTCGGCCCGTTTATCTCGCTGTTTTCAAAGGTTTTTGCGCACGTGTCTTCATCACCAGGCGCATGGAGACGCAGGCGGCTGGATTCCAGCCCGAGTGCTCACCGGACTCTGCCGAAACAGGACGCTTTTAAGTTGTTCATCGCCCACGTCCAGCAGAAAGTAATTACAGAAGAAGAAGAAAACCTCACTCATGGTCCATATTACTAAAAGGCAGGAATAAAGAGCCTGGCAGTAACACTAAGGTTCTCAGCCACGGCCGGCGTCTCTAACCCCTTCTCCATCCCTGCCAAGCCTAACATGACGCCTCACCCTCTCAATGCGGGATTCCTTTGTTTGCACTCTGACTTCCTTGACCTTCTGGTGTGGCAGCATGTCCCTCTGTTTCTTCCTCTCTCTTAGCTTCCCTTTCTTACTTTGGGCTATTCTCTCTTTACTCTGTCTTCCAATCTTCCTTCACCCTGGCCCCTTTACTCTCATTCTAATCTAAACACCCGGCAGGTTTTTAACTCTAATAAAATCTGTTAATTAAAACTCATGCTCTAGTTCCACTTTCCTTTTATTCCCTTTCTAACCAAATTCAAATCCAGGTTGACTGAGTATAAAGGGGATCCTCCTATCCACCATGATGCACTGTTTTTATAAAATTTATAAATAAAGATTATGATTTACTCCTGTTATATTTAACAGTAGGAACCCTGGTGGTACAGCAACTACGTATTGGGCTACTAACTGAACAAACCCACAAGCACAAGAAAGACGTGGCTGTTTGATTATAAAAAAAATTATGATTATGATGTGAGTCTTCTAAAGTATTAGTCTAGATATATTATCAACCATTCCTACATGCTTTATCCAACAGAATTTGTTCTCTATTACCAGGCAACTACTTTTTCTTCCCATGTGACACAGAGATGACAAGACAAGCAGACACTTGAATATGAATACGTTAAGCAAAGGTTGCTAGAGAAAGAGACCATAAAAGCCCTACAAATTAATATTGTTTAACAAGAATATTGCCAACACGGAAAAGAAAAGCACAGAGAATAAAATGTTATTCAGTAACAGATTATGCTTCAGGATACAAGTGCAGGAGGTGAGACTTACTCAATGTGACTCTTCTAGTCGGTCTCTCACTCCCAATGACCTTTCCCTGCATGGCCACAGACAGTGGGGAAAGATACTGAAAGGATTCACCGGTGAGTAATTACAAACAGGATTCACTGGAGGGCCATTCTGCTTATGTATGAAATGAGCCCTCTGAGAAGCAGGAGGAGGGATTCCATTACCAGCAAGAGCCAGGAGTGGGGCAGTCCTCTGGACCTGAGATCTCTGTGCAGTGAACCTCCTGGATCCACAAGACAGCGATGCCATCAAAGGAGCAGCAACAGAACTAGGAGCTGGAGCGATGGGTTTCCAAACCCAGGAGCAAGTAACAATGAGTGATTTTGTGCAGGAAGCTAGCTTGTGGGGCAGGGTGCCTCTGGGCATTTAGTGTGGGGAAGCGGGGCTTGCTGACCCAGGGAAGTGGAACTGAGTGCCTTCAGGCTAGAGCTTACAGGGGTAAGGTGCCTCTGGGCAGTTAATTCAGGGAGCTTGGTTTGCTGACACTTGGAGCTTAAGCTGAATGTCTTTTGGTTGAGGGTTATGGCAGAGTGGTATGCGCTCTGGGCATCTAACTAGCATACCTGAAAGAACTTCGTAATAAGTCTTGATAGACAACTCAACCCTGAGCATTTCTCACTGGCATTACGTCCTTAAAAAGCCCTTTAATCATGAATTTTGTCTGTGAGTCCCATGTAGTCATTGCAATGGACATCAAAACCCAGAGAAGTAAATAGAGGACACTGATTAAGACACATCAGTAAGAAACGAAGTCACTAGAATAGCCTTTCTTACGGCACTCTGGGAAATGTTGTTAGGCTCATACTATCAAAGCGTGAGGGGAATCTTACAGTCCAAAGCTAACCCTTTGGAATTGCATTCAAATAGATGTGGCAGAGTTCCTCGGTAAAGTCAGTATTATGCTGTGGCCTGAAGACAAATAGCTGGTTATCAGACTATACTGGGGATTGGCAAACTCTTTTCAAATCAAACCCTGAGGACTGTATTTTTGCACAGCAGCTAATCATTTTTAAAAATTATGCAGCTGCATGTACCTCCCCCCCCCCACACACACACAGCATATGAGGCAGCATCTGGATGTGGCCTGCAGAGCCTAAAGAATTTACTCTCTGCTTTTTGCAAGAAGAGCGTGGACACACCAAGATGGTATCCTCGGACATACCAAGTTTATATATATGCTGAGTTCCAGTAGACTAGGCTGAAAACGGTGCTAACTGAGCCTGTCCCTGCTAATGGCCCTAATTGTACCACTGTAACAAAGTAAAAAAATTGAATTATGGCCAGTATTTATTTATTTTAAATTGTTTTATTGGGGGCTCATACAACTCGTATCACAATCCATACATCCATCCATCGTGTCAAGCACATTTGTACATTTGTTGGATGGGTAGTATTTATATGGGTCATGATCTCCTCATGCCAAATTAAGTCAGAAACAACATTTAAGATCTCAATGTTAAGATGATTTCCCCCAAGCCAATTACAGAGCAACTTAATCCTGATTTGGCCCAGGTCTTTAGCAATTTCATTAATCTGAAAACAAGAAAATTATTGGATCCAGCAGCAGAACTACCAATGGCAGCCCCTGCCATTGTGTTTGTTTACAAAGTTTGCTCCACCCTCTCCTCCTGTCCAGCTGAACTCTAGGACTTTACATCATCCCCACCTGCTGCTGCAAATGGATCCCTAAGTCTGTCAAAGGGCTATATTCTTCCCCTTGCTCAAAAACTTACAATCAGGACCATGCGCGGGGAGCTTCTTTCTATCTGCTTCTCTCCTGCCAGTCTCTTTGATGCACCAGTGTTATTAACTCTGTCTCTGCAGAGCTTCACTGCAGTCCAGCAATGTTTCTGCTTTAACTCTCCTGTTCTGTTGAGGTGGCGGCTCCTGTGCTCCCTATCCGTCTCCCTCTCACTTTCACGTGGCTAGTCCCCTAGCTTCAGACAAAGGGCTGGCTCTAACTTTGCTCTATGCAACTATCCTAAATTCCTTTCATCTCACCTTCTCCATACATCCCATTTCCCAAAATAAAACCTATTAATTAAAGATCTCCCTCTGTCTCTCGTCTCTGAAAAACCTTACAAAATGACCTGAAGTTAAGCCAAGGATGCAGGCTGCCAAGGATTGCCAACAGAAATTGTACAGGAAGAAAGAAAATCCAACTAAGAAACACAGGCAAAATAAATAGTTAAAGACATAATGAATCCTCTCTCTTCTTGACTTTCACAAGGTAGCACCTAATTGCTTTTTACCTTGGTCTGTTACAGCTTTTCTGCCTTTTTGTTGAGTACTGTACTGCTTCTTATACCAGGCTATCAAGTGTTAGAGTTCCTTAAAACTTGATCCTAGCTCCTTTCTTATCATGCTCTGCTGGGAGTGACCATTGTCTACCTCACAACACTCTGAAAGCCAAACAAACTAGAACCTACTCTATAGGTAGTAACCTGGCTAGAATGCTAATTTTGTAACAATTGGTTAGAAAGGTCAGAATTTGATCAGTAACTATCAGCTTCCCTATTATTTAGTTTAAAGTTTTTATTGTGGTGGAGTATAGTCACGTTTTCCACTGAAAGCATTTTTAGGTGTAGAATTCTGTTAATTACATTCACCATGAAGTGCTTTCATTACTACTGTTTCCTAACCTTTTCATCACCCTCAACACAAACCTGCCCCCTTTCAATTTCCTTTTTTCACACGCCTGAAGTAACCATAAAGGCCTCTGGTCTTTACGCATTTGCCTATTCTGGCTATTTTACATAAGTGGGGTCCTACATTACTTTTCCTTTTGTGTCTGACTTATTTCAATCAGCATAATTGTTTCCATGTTCATCTAAACTATCTGGTAAAACTATATTGTTTTCTCTGGATAAACAAGAACAACACAAATATTAAGGAACTACAAGCTTCATTTCAAAATTGGCAAACTGCCCTCATGGGGCCCTGGTGATGTAGTGGTTACAACTTGGGCTGTGAGCCAGATGGTAGGCAAGTTTGAAACCATCAGGAGAAAGACCGGGCTTTTGTAAATAGTCTTGGAAACCACAGGGAGTAGCTATGAGTCAGCACTGACTCAATGGCAGTGAGCTGAGTATGCTGCCCTCAGAGTGATTATTTTCCTGCCTCTACTTCACCCTTCCATAAAGTCCCAACATTTTGGGTAGTTTGGATATCTAAGCTCAAAAAGATATTTGTAGATTGTATGTGTCTCTACATTTAGTAAAATAAAATCTTGAATAAACTAGGTTATAAAATAATAGAATTCAAGCTACTAAGTTAGATCATGACAAGCTGCACAAGTATGCTCAACAAAAACAAACACTAGAAAACTTCAGAATAAAGACATTAAAAATGCCCATCTGCAGACAACTGGACATAGCTTGCAGAGGGGTAGAGGGGAGGAGATGAGTCACTTAGGGTTCAGTATAGCAATAATGAAACCCACATAATGCTTCCTCTCCACAACTACCATGACCCCAATTCTACCTTGCAAACCTGGTTAGACCAGAGGATGCACAGCGGTACATATGGGAACTGGAAACGCGGGGAATCTAGGACAGATGAACCCCTAAGGACCAGAGGTGACAGTGGCGATACCGGGAGGGAAGGTGGGGGGTAAAAAGGGGGAATTGATGACAAGGAACTACATATAACCTCCTCTCTGGGGGATGGGCAACAGAAGCGTGGGTAAAGGGAGAGCCGGGCAGTGTAAGATAAGATATAATAATAATTTATAAATTAATAAGGGTTCATGAGGGAGGGGGATGGGGAGGGAGGAGGAGGGAAAAAAAGGAAAATGAGCTAATTCCAGGAACCCAAGAGGAAAGCGAATTTTGAGAATGATGAGGGCAACAAATGTATAAGTGTGCTTTACATAATTGATCTACATATTGTGATGAATTGTATGAGCCCCAATAAAATGATTAAAAAATTTTCACTAGAAATATAGATACAATTCAGTATACATTCAAGAGCTGTACACTGTATGCATTTAACTAACAACTCACCTGTGCTTTCTCTCGCTATTTCATCAGCACGGCTGTTACTTGTACCACTGAGACGGACTATACTGGAAGAGCTCTGGTAATTGAGCTTTGGAAGGCAATCAACACTTCCTTTTGTACTTTCATTTTCTGACACTGTTAAAGATAAAAATGAAAATGTTAATAAAATGAATTATCTATAGATTTTAGGAGACAAAAAGAAAAGTAGCTTTTGGTTATTAATATTTCTGCATAAAAATAGGTGAAAAAGTTAAGGAAACACTAGACATCTCTGTATCTATTTGTCAAGCAAAAATATGGGACTGCATTTACTTATAGCTCAAATGACTAATTCCTGGTCATGTCAATGATCCAAGGCACTAAGAGACTGTTCTTAACAAGCACATGAGATCAAAAGGGAAGTAGCTGTACAGGGCTCAATCTCAAAAGACAGGAAGGACTGGAAAGAAAAAGGAGTGTAACAGAAAACACAGGAGGAAGGGGATGCTGCCACTTTTCTGGGGCCGCAGTCAGTATCAGGAATCAAAATGTGTATGAATCGAATGAAAACTCAATTCACATTGTAAGCTTTCCCTCAAATCACAATAAAAGTTTAAGAAGGTATAAAAAGAGACTAGGCTTATAATTCTAAATAATAATAATTATTAAAGTTGACTCCTGATCAAAGTTCATTTCTGTTAACTAACTTATAAAAATGTAATTTTCCCTCTCTGGTTGTGAAACAGTAGTTTTGGGAGATGGAGGAGGACAACAGGGGCACATTACATTAACAAACTCATTAAATTAAAATATCGTTAACCTCAGAAAAGAGTCATGTTTCAAGAAATAAATAGCATTTACCCTAACAGTATTTGAGAAGAAGAAGGCATTTGTATGTTAATATATTCGATGGCACAGAAGCCTTGTAATGGGTGAAGAGACGGACTTACAGTGGAAAAGTGAGAAATAAACGAGCACTTTTATACTCGTCACTTGTATTTTCTATAAGTTCACACAATTTATATCAATAATACTCACAGGAACTACCATCACTTCCTTTCCTATCTTCTTTTTCTTCTCGAATGTCCTCACTAGATGTATCCCCTCTTCTAACTTCATCTTTAGACAATGAATTATAGCCAAGATCAGACTGACCACCTGGAGGGAAAAAAAGAAACAAAATTCTATGCTATTTATTCCTGAGGGAAGAGGGGCGGGGAGGGAGGGAAAAAATGAGCTGGATACCAACGGCTCAAGTAGAAAGCAAATGCTTTGAGAATGATGATGGGAACAAATGTACAAATGTGCTTGACACAATGGATGTATGTATCGATTGTGATAAGAGTTGTACGGGCCTCCAATAAAATGATCTAAAAAAATTCTATGCTGTTTGTTATAAGCTTATTTAGTAAGAATAAATAGAATTAAACATAACACATTTGGGTTTGTATTGGCTCATAGAAAATTTTCTACATAAATATTCCAGTGGAAAGAAGAGTTTTGTTAGTCAACACCAAGGGTCTCTCAATACTAAAATGAGAATTTGTGGTAGTTACATAATCTGTTGTGAATTTGAAACTTAAGAGTGAAGGGGTGGAGTTCAGCCTGTCAGTCACGTTGCAGCTTGATGACCTCATCTGAAGGTGCTAAGGAGATATATATAGCTTACTGGAATTGAGACACACACTCACTCCCTGGGAGCCATCAATGACAATGAGCCTGATGGAGTGTAGTCAGAGCCCAGAGCTGGAGACCCACACCAGCACTGAGATGCTTCCACTGCCACTGGATCCACAAGACTTTCTACCCACTGGTCTGTGATCTTCCTGCATTCCGTGTCACTGCATGTATTTCATGAATCTGAAGAGTAATTTATAGATTGGTATCGGACCTATGGGCTAATATCGGACTTATGGGCTTGATCTGGACGGGCTGGGATGTGTCAAAAGTAACTACGTTCATTCACACGACTCTGTGAGTACTAAGAACCACAGAAAAACCAGACCGTCTCCATACAAATCCTTAGCCTTTCTGGGTGAAAGTCTTGGGTTCCAACTAAGATATGGAGAAATCTGCAGGGAATTAAAAATAGAAGGTTCACACACAGATCATTACAACTGAGTATCCAAATAATTTTGCTTAAAAAATTTGAGTTTATTTAAATCTATTAATAATAAAATTTTCTGTTAAAATCCATCTAATTAACTGAAATTAATTTTAAAATTAAGATGTTAGGGTTATTATAATAAAGGAAAAATTACTTTAAATGAGAAAACTTCAAAAACATTTTGAGGCTTTCTACTATTTTCAGCAAATTATTTTCATTGAATTGATATCAAATGATAAGGTTTTGAATTCTAGTTCTCTAATTTAGAAGATACAATTTTAAGCAAATGATGTAACTTTGTTTAATATAATAACAAAAGGATGTTATATGAAGCCTATATATGAAATGGTTTTGTAAAGAATGATAATTTTGAATTTTCATTTTAAAAATCAAGCTTTCAGCTCTATTTCCAAAGAAACAAAAAACAGAAAAGGTGAGCAAAATACTGATTAAGTTCATGCTATTTTATAAGGCTCAACACAATTTTAAGATAGACATAAAATTAAGATAAAAATAGATATCTTCATTTTTAAAAAATAATGCCTCAAGCGACCACCGATCAGAGAAGCAACAAGCCCACGTGGAAGCAGCACATGGAGCCTGTGTGGTCATGCGGTGTCGACAGAATTAGGTAACGGGCACCATAAGACCCAACACACACAAAACAACACTGTTGTGAACGAAGAAGGTTCAGAGCAGAGACCCAAAACCCATGTGTAGCCAACAGGACATCCTCTGACAGAAGGGGCACGAGGAAGGGATGAGTCAACCAGGGTGCAGTATAGCACCAATGAAACACACAATATTTCTCTGGTTCTTTGAGGTTTCCTCACCACCCACCCTCATGACCCCAGTCCTGCCTTTCAATTCTGGCTAGACCAGAGCATGTACACTGGTACAGATCTGAGCTCACGACACACAGAATCCAGGTCAGATAAAACCCTCAGAAACAGAAATGGGAGTAGCGATACCAGGAGGGTAGATGGGAAAGAGAGGGGAGGAAGGGGTAACCAAGTGCAATGATTGATGCATAATCCCCCCAACTCCTGAGGGGATGAACAACAGAAACATGGGTGAAGGAAGACAGTAGTCTGTGTAAGATAGAAAAACAATAATAATTTATAATTTATCAAGGGATCATGAGGGTGGGAGGGAACATAGAGAAGCTGGTACCAAGGCTCAATATAAAGTCAATGTTTCAAAAATGATGATGGCAACATATGTACAAATAAATAGGCTTTATACAATTGATATGTGGAATGCTGTAAGAGCTTTAAGAGCCCTCAATAAAATGATTTTAAAAAAAGAAATAATGCCTGAGTATGACTAGTATAACTCTGAATGTTTAATCAAGAAATAAAAATGAACCAAGGAAGAACTGTAAAAATGATATAGAAACACAATTAGCTAATTACTTTTTTTTGGAGGCCCCGCTGGGTTAGCTAATTACTTTTAAAACGTAAATACCAAAGGAGAGATACCATTTTGATTAATGATACTATTTTGCGGAGATAGGAACCTTTGTGATTTATTTATTGCTTGGAGTCCACACCGCTGCCCCCACCCAGGAGAAATGCCCGTCTATTTGCATTGGGGGTGGAGGGGGTGTTACTGACGACAACACAGCGCTGCTGCTGCTGGTAGTGCCACTTGGACAGGAAAGGATCCAGCCCACATTGCTTAGATTTTTAAAGGTTCTGTTGGGTAAGAGCTCTGGCTCTTCTAATATATTCAAAAGTCAAGTATAATATTTTTAGATGTAATAATGCAAAGGATAGATCCATGCCAGCACGTCTTTCTTCTTGTTGTTGAACTTTATATTGTGGTTAGGATGAAAGTACATACAGCAAAGTGGATGGTCGTTATGGAGCTGATTAGCTTTCCTGTAGACACAGTTTTGCAATTATGATAGTAACTGCAATCCTTGCAATGCTGCAGCACTGCAGTCATCTCACGTCTTCCCTGGCTTCTGTTTCCATTTGCCCATTGTCCCTCCCCCTTCCTGTGTTCTGACCTTTGTTTTAGAGCAAACGCTGCTCCTTTCGGAGGTGCCCACACTGTTCCCTCAATAAACTGATTGTTTTAAGGAACCTTGGTAGCATAGTTGGAGGTGCACTGAGCTTCTAGCCATAAGATCAGGGGTTCAAATAGACTGAAAATCTCAAAAACCCAAAGAGGCAGGTCTATGCTGTTCTATAGGATTGCCATGAGTTGGCATCCACTCAATAGCAAGGAGTTTTTTTTGGTTTTGTTTATTGTTTGGCAACAGATGATCTGTAGGAGTGGGTTCAGTTCCAGGTGTGAAGGGTGTCTAGGGGCTATATTCTTGGGGGTTCCACTACTCTTTATCAGACCAGGAATTTTGTTCCACATTTTTGTCCCACTTCTATTATGATTCTGATTAGACTGGTTGTAGTAGTAGCGGGGCTACTACTACTTCCTTTTTATTTACTTATTTATTTTTTTACTACTACTTCTTTTGGTCTCAGGCTAGGAGAGGTTGTGGTCTGTGTGCTCCGTTAGACTTTTGACTTATTACTGCCTCAAGTGTGGTTTTTTTCACTCTTCTTTGCATAGGATGGGAAGAGACCGATAACTGCATCTTAGATAGTCGCTTACAAGCTCTTAAGACTCCAGTCGCTCCTCACCAAAGTAGGGTGCAGTACACTGTTTTAATGGATTGTCATGTCAATTGATGAAGATTTCCACAAACTGTGGTCCCCGGTAACACAGCGGTTACAAGTTGTGCTGCTAACCACAAGGCCAACAATGCAAACCCACCAGTTCCCACGGGGGAAAGACGCGCCTTTCTGCTCCTGGGAAGTTCTGCAGCCTTGACAATCCAGGGCAGTTCTCCCCTGCCCTATAGGGTCGCTGTGAGTAGGATATGACTGGACCTAAGGTCTCTTAGGGTCTGAGCTGAGTCACTCAGTCCTCAGTGTGTCTGTTTATGGTTACGAAGTCTGCACCCCTTCACCCTGGGCATGCTCTACTATATGCCTGTATAAATTACAGCACATCTGTATGTAATATACATATTCTGTACATACACAGGAATATCCTTAGCCAAACCTACATCTATACTCGTGGATGTACTTTCATGCACCAAGCCACGCCGATCTTACATATCTACCTGTATCTTACATATTTATCTAGATGCTCATGCATAAATTAATTCTTGTTATTATTGTTAGTGCAAGATTGGGTATATAATAGCATCATTGTGGTCATGCTGTGCTGACCATGCTGTGCTCCCCTTATTTTGTGTACTGCCTTTGCCTTCACCCAAATAATACATGTGTACTACCCAGTTAGTGATTTTCCATCTCATAAGTATGCTATTTCTTACATACTTACAAGTGTTCTTGTTCTTATTGAAAACTTGTGTATAAATCTTCTTTTTCAATGAAATTAATACCATCTGCAGTGCTGAAATGCTATTTTTAAAACAGTGAATTTTTAAAATTATAGCTGTTAATTTAAATTTTGAGTCTTTTGGTCAAGACTCAAAAGAAGTTATAAAAATAGTATACTGCAGAGAATTCTCATGTATCCTTTACCCAGTTTCCCCAAATGATATCTTAATACGCCCAGAGTGCACTGTCAAAATGATAAAACCCTAGGACAATGTCTTCTGAGGACAGGACACAGACAATGGCAAATATTACAATACCATTAGCTCAGGTACAGCGACAGGCTTTAAAAAAATTCTCCCAACATTCTTAGAATTACAAAGAAGAATTTATCCTAAGAAAATTATATAATAGAGAGGTAAGGTGAACATGAACAAAATACTTGGATAAGCTATTTTATAAGTTCTCTTTAAATGTCCATTTCTATTTGATTAAAGAATGAATAAAATTGCATATAATTATAAAGGTTAATATCAAACTAAGGGCCTAACATATAAAATTAAAAAGTGAAAGTTCACTTAACACATAATTGAAAAGAAAATATTTAGAAGAGAGGATAGCAAATTTAGTTTAAACAATGCACTCCAAGAGGTATATATTTACACATGAACAAACCTGTACTGGATCTATCATCAGCAGCATGTACTCTGATTAAGCTTGTGTTAAAAGGTGCCTGCTCCACAGTGTGTGTCCCATGACCACTATCCATGCTGCCATGACTAACAGCATCCAAGTCACTGCCATCTGCTTAAAAACACAATTTGATGGCATTTTACTACTAAAGGAGACACCAAGATATATAAAAGTTTGTTACTCAAATTAATAATCTAGTAATAACTCAAACTCAAACTCAGTGCCACCGAATCAATTCTTCCTCAAAGCGACCGTGTAGGACAGAGCAGAACTGCTCGTCTGCATTTCCAAGAATCTTTACAGAGGTAGAAAGTCACATCTTTCTCCTGCACACCATCTCGGGGTTTCAAACTGCTGACCTTGTGGTCAGCAACCTAACATATAACCCACTATGTCACCAGGGCTCCCTATTGATATAATAGTGAACATGAAAACTGCCACATAATTAGCAAAATACAAGTATAACAAGGAAACCAGTTGTGATTTAGTAGTGGACATTAAAAACAAGACCCCCAAAAGTTGATAGTTCAATAAGACAAAATGATATAATTTGATGTGCTTTCTTAAGTGGGAAAAAGTATTCTTTATTTATTTAGTGGCAATAAAAACTAGGAAATAGTCGATATTTTGAAACTATTTAAAATTTCAGAAAATGCAAAGTAAATTTATTAAGAGATAGTAAAAAACACACACATTTTAAAAACCTTTGATTACCTGAGAGAGTTGTTCGTGATAAGTGCACATGCTTCTTTAAAGCTCTCTTGAACTGTGCTACTCCCAAAACAACGTTCCTTACTCTTGTCCAAAGTACACAGCCACTATGACTTCTTGAAGGCCAGGTGCTTTCCAATACAGCCTATGCATGCAACAACAAAATACGGTTAGTAAAATATTTTTTATAAACAAGCATACACTAGCTTTAGAATTAAACTATAGAATATCAAACTATAGAATATCAAAGTAAATTAAGTAACACAAAACGGAACAGGAACACTTCTTGATTTACAAAATCAATTTTAGGTATTCTAAAGTAAATGCCAATAACTTTGCATTGTTTATTTCTGTCATTAAATTAAGGTGAAATGAGGGGACTTGTGGTACAGTGAATTACTAGGTATGGCTCTTTTAGTCATAGTCTTTTTAACTTCCACCAAATGACTGGTGGGACTAAACTAATAGGTAATATAGAACTCTAATGCCATCCCATTGGGCTTTAAATGAGCCATCGCAGAAGCAGGGACAGGGATCTCACAATGATCAAGAAAGATTAGTGCATCCTTTGGAGCCTGAGATCCCTGTGTGCTGAAGCAGAGCAGCAGCTACAGCAGAAGCAAAGGCATAAAGGGGTGCTTTCTGGCCCAAGGAACGAGCGTAACTGAGCACCTTTTAGGTAGGAAGTGGGGTGCCTCCAGGTACTTAATTGGTGGAGCTAGGTTTGTTAACCCAAGGAACAGAGTTGAGTGCATTTGGACTGAGACTTAAGGTAAAGCGGAATAACCTTTGGGCATTTATGGCAGTGCTACAAAGCTTTGTAACTGCCCAAGCAGGATAGAAACTGAGGGGCTGTTGCGGCTAAGAGACCAAGGACCAGAAAGAGGTGTGCCTGAGAACCTGGCCGAGATAAGAGGTGCTCGCGATCTGAAGAACTGCACCCTGAGCACTTCTGACCCTGTTTTCCTAATAAACACCAAAACTGTGAGGACTGTCTGTGAGTTTTGTGTGGCTATTGCAATGCACTATAGAACCCAGCAGAGAAGTATAGTGCCTTGGGATGGATTGTGGGTATTAGAATCTGTAAAGAAGATTAGAGACATGTCTGATACCAGTCTCATAGGAATCAGCCTTGGGTTGATATTGAGTTTGATTCTCTATCCCAATTGTGAAGTTAGAAGAGATCATATGTTGCCTCACACCACTCATACTGGGCTTTGAAAAGTTCATGGAAAATGGAATTAAAGAGAAAATGAAAATATTCCACAAATTCTTGAAAGTCCCCCCTGTATAATTATAAATATCACATTGTTTCTCCATCAAACTGTTACCTTGTTATAATAACCATAAGTAATGGCATTGGGGTCAATACCAGCTTTCTGCATTTCAAAAAGCACTCGAACTGCAAGCACTGGCTGATCATATTGTCCACAGAGTTGCATGAGAATACGATAACACACCTGAAAAACAGCAAGTTCAAAGTGTACAGAAACAGTCATCTATCTCCACGAATCTAGAGTGAAATAATGCATTTTAAAAGTAATTGGTACCTCATCAGGTGGATCCATCTTTTTTGAGTGCATTTTTTTAAGTACATCATATGCTGTGGTTAGAGCCCTGACTTTTGAATGGCATACTTTCACATAAGCTGGGAGACAAATAAACCACAGTCCGTAACAGTGTCGCAGCAGACACCTAGACCACATCTGAGGGATAGAAGAATACCTCTTTGCAATTTTATGGGCTGACTTAATTTCCTAGAAAAAAGATGCAAGGTTCCCATTAATAAATTGACACATTTAGGCATCCTTACTTAAATGAATGATGAACAAGTACAAGTCACATGCACTTAAACCATTTTCATAACAAAATATGTACTTAATATATTTTTAAACCTTTGCTTGAATTTGTATTATATAATATGTAAAGAGAATTAGTTAATGTCTTAGAATCAGATTTCTCTAAACAATCTTCAGAGGACTTTGGGGAGTGTAATAATCTGTTAATAGTTACATTTGGGAGTGGCAAAATTATAGTAAGGGAGTATGCATGTCAACTTTGCTTTTAGTCCTTACATTTGATTATAGGAAGAATACAACATTTTCAAAGTACCTGCTTTGTTCTTCTGAACATGGGAGAAGGACTGCTAGGACTACTTAATTTTGAGGGAAATTTTTTCTTTTTCGTTTGTAGAAATCCTTCAGGTCTCTCAAATAAATTGTTCCTAAGAACTGGAAATCCATTATAGCTACGTAGGGATGAAAACAAACAAACAAACAAAAACTCAAGTACAAATAGATGATCATACTGCTTATATACTAAACATTTACAACCAATAACTTCTTAATTTAGAACTTACGCTGAATTATCTTTCTCCATCAGGTTATAATTTAAATAGTCACACTAATGCTTTTTTTACTGTAATATTAAGAAAGGTAGTAGTCAAATACAGATTTATAAAGAAAAGCAACATACATTTAAATTTTGTTGAACTTGACATCAAAATCCAAAATAACATAAGCAAACTTTTAAATATCATTATCCATGGAAATGTACAATCTGTACAATAAACATCATAAATTGCTAAAAGGCATATCAAATCAATATTGTTCATATTGAAGCTATTGACTGAAATAATGAATTTGCTGTGAAACATCCTGTGATGCAAACAACAACTTTAAATATAGCATCTTAGCACAACACACTAGCTATCATGTTGCTCTGTACTGATTCATCAGCCCAGCTAGCAGGTTCAGGGCCTCATTTAGAAGAATGAAAACTGGAGTACTGTAGTTGGAAAGGAAGACAAGATGAGAAAACTTGGACCTTCCAGATATGGGGTGAGTAAGGTTAGAGCAAGATTTCTGGGCACTTAAAAAGCAGAAGTTCTCGTGAAAAGGTTTGTGGAAATAAAAGAAGAAGCTCCTGAGCAACAAATGGAGCCAGCTTCACTGTATTTAACGTGTACAGCTCAGTGAATAAAAAGGAACTTAATATAGGAAAATATGGTAACCTATCAGTAACTTATATTACTCTATGTAAAATCAGCAGAATAAGAAAATACTAGTAAAGATTGAATGTTAAAAAAATATCCCAAAGTAGTGCAGGAAAATTATGTGCCTTACAAAAATCCCCTGTATTACACAGTATGACAATAAGACCATTTGTCTATCTTATGAAAACATGCTATATGACTTTATACAATGCAAGTATCTGCTTCATCTTTTATTAAGAGCACTGACTGCCCATTAAAGGAATGAAAATTAAGTTGTTTTTCTAATGATGACTATGATTACGCACCAATGATATTGAGTCTCAAGAAAAGTGACTGGATTCTTTTAAGAATGACAATTTTAAAAATTAAGTAATTTTATTATTGAAGGACTAAATCTAAAATTGAAATTTAATTTATAAAGTTAAAACCAAACTAGAAAAGAAAATCAAAACTGTTTTTATTGAAATATACAGAAAGTAAAGAGAAAATCTTGTTTAGAAAAAAAGATAGAACTTAGGGGAAATAATTTAAATATCTGAAACAAATATTTTTTAAATGTGGTATGAGCAGGAATAAAGTGACCAATGCACTAATCAACATTTATAAATATCTGTAACACTACTTTTTTCATCTCTTAAATGGAAGATTTCATCCAGGTCAGAAATGAGGATGTCCTGAAAAATCTTTTTACAGTAAAACTTTCAAGCTTTAACTAAAAGGGAATGATAGATATGAAACAGTTTTAGAATCTTTAAATAAAGTAAGATAGTAGCATTGGAGAATTAAAATTTTATCATTTAAGTTACAAAAGGAAAAAAAGATTAAGTAAAAATAAAGGTATATTAGAAACCAAATAACAAATGTACTGCTGTTATTTTATTGTGCTCAGAACTTTTCTCTCTTTACCTCTAGATATGAAAACAATGTTTCATTCCAGCCTGAATACCAAGCACTTAGCCTGCCCAAACTTCCTAAATGAACAAGGATCAATGACTTAACAAGAATTCATGAAAATATTTATCATGAATATTTAGCCTAAACAATTTATAATAAAAACCAAGGTCAACAGATACTGACTCTACATTCATTTAACGCCTTTTATAAGCCAAAGTTACACTAATCAATATGTAAGTATGTGGGGGTAGGTTGGCAGTACAGTCTTGAGGCTTATAAAGGAACTAGCTTTTAGGAAGAAACAATGTAATTCTTCATTTGGGGAGGGGAAGTCTAATGAAATTTAATAAACATTTCTGAAGACAGATATTATGTGGATATAATTAGAGAGCTTCTCAAATTTATATTAGTTAGGTAAAATAATAAATGCTTTTCCTATTTATACCTCAAAATTTAATAATGGATATGATAAGCTTGCTTACTACCTAAAATTGAGAAATCTGTAAAGTAGGCTTTTTGAAAATACCACAGTCCTTAGAAAGCTACAACACAGATGTTGGCTTGCTTCTCTCTTTCAATCGCAAACACTCTGCCTCGTGAATACCTGTACTGTAAAGGGGGTTCTTCACCATTGGGTAGATGAGGGATCTCAGGTGGTGTTACAAAAACAGTATGTTCACTTCTGAAAGATTCATCCAGTTCTATAAGTCGCACATCACCACTCTTGTCCATATCTACCTGAAGTAGTTTAAAAAACATACATAGAGTTAAATAAATTTATACAACTTAATATTAAAGAGCTACCTTTAATAATAAAAAACAAATATGCAAGTTCTTATACATAATATGACAGAGAGATCTCCAAGATAAATTAAGTATAAATAGCAAGGTATACATATACATATACATACACACACACACATATATTTCTCTGAGTAAGAAAGAGGGAAAAATAGGAACCTACATGTATTTTTAATTTTATTCACATAAAGGATACTATGATTCTGGAGAAGGGGAAGAAAGAGGTGGGTTACCACAAAATAAACCCAAACTTTTAATAATTTTTGCATTTTCAATTATGAGAATGTATTATCTATTTCAGAAATAAAGAAAAATAAGCACATTTGTGTGTGTTGGGAATAGTGGGTTCTATATTTTTATTATAACTTATTCTAAATAATAAATGTCCCTAAGTTCTTCCAATTCTGTAGGGACATATTTTGGTTAACCTTCAGTCGCATCAACATGGAAAAGTTCTTAGAAGTACTGTTTTTCCCTAGGTACTATATGGCAGGTTAACATCCAGAAAAAAATACTAATTGCAGGAGCTGTGGGGAGACAGGAACTCTCATCCACTGCTGGTGGACCTGTAAGTATGTACAGCCACTATGGAAATCGATCTGGCGATATCTAAAACAGATGGAAATCGAGTTACCATA